TACGGCGGTCGCTATCTTCTATAAGTAAAAAAACAGGTTCATCAGTAAAAAATGGGGCTCATGAGGAAATATTTGAATAACGAAGGACTAACGCGTGTTATGAATTAATGATTGCGCACTAGAGTAACATGTTCTGATGTGAGAAGATAATGCAATCATGCATGCATGAGAATTAGCATAGCTGTCTAGCATTGTCCCTTTACTTGAGTCCTGTTGGCACACATCACAGGCAAGCAATCGCGTGTCGAAGTCCTGCGTCGTTCAAATAACAAGCGCTTTATAGGGGAGTATTGGGTGGCCAACGGCTGACCGGCTCTGATTTGGTCCAAAATTTTAATTAGGGTCGTCCGCTTTAGACGCTTAGAAACGTTACAGCAAGAGTTCAGCACAAGACAGCTCTCAAGAGCCTGACACTCCAGAGTGTCAAGATGGCGAGAGCTAAGATGCTCTCTCAGGAATGCACTTATATATTCGATCAATTTACTGATGCTCTTGAATAGTGAGGAACTCTGTAAATTATTTTAGAAATTTATTCATATTCCATGAAGCGAAAAAACATGCATAAGTATAAGTAGCGCACAATTTTATGAAAAAAATCGTTTGTAGAAAAATGTTTAAGACTTAATGATACTCCAAGTCCCTTTTTCTTGAATTGTTTGCAGGTTTTTATTAGTATTAATTAAAAATTTTAAACCAACGTTTAATGCGATCGGATACGTTATTTGAGCTAGTGTCAATGAGTTACTGTTAGCCATTTCGTCTTCTCGTTGCGAGGTCAAAAACTTGATAGCAACGCAGTTCTCTGCAAAAAAAAGAATATTTTCCTTGTTCTAAGCATAGTATTTCTTAGCTCAGCTCACCCGCTGCTAATTGGGTCCTGGTTATTCTTGAGTCCAAGGACAACAAAATCATGTTCTTTCCTTAAAAAAATGAGCAGGATTGTGTTTTTTGAGTGGAAGTGAAGGCAGGCGCGCCAGCACATCGAGACCTAACGGTCGCGGCGCGGCCGTTGTGGTGTCGTTTTGGCGCACTAGGAACGCGCTATCGCAGTCAGGGCCCTCGGGACCGATCGAGACGCTCGCGAGCTGCTGACAATTATAGGCGGCTTATGGGAGGCTGATACGTGGCCGTAGATATAATGGCGCTAATTCTCTCTTGTATCCATGTAGGGTAAACCACCGCAGCAATTCCTAGTGCAATTTTCTTAGCTCGGCATCACTGCTTCTTTCGAGCAGCTGCGAAACATAACCGACTCAAATTCCTAATTTGGGCAGGGGTGAATAAAAAATATTTTTTAGTATAATTTTCAGGAATTAGTATGCATTTAAGCAAAATTGGTCAACAAAAAGTGGCGCAGTCACCTGATAGTTCGGTGTTGATGGCATGAGATTAACGCATGAATTCCGTGGTGCTTCACGTACAGAGATCAAAGCAGGTGAATTGCAACAAGAGAATGGCGCCAAGGACAAGTCTGATCGAGGGACAGTTTTCGAAATCACTTGAAATTAAAAGACTCGTAGTGTAGCGCTCAACTTATTTGGTGCATGTCTAATATGCGGCTTCATTTTTTGTGTTTGTGTTTCGACCTTGATGAACTAGTCATCTTTCTGGGACACTTTAAACCCAATGGTGCGATTAAATGTCGCAATTTTCCAAAATAATAATTTTAGTTTAAAATAGCAACAATAATTTTAGGTGCGGAAAGTACAAAACAAAATTGTATGTTTCATTTAATTAGAGTGTACATGAATTTAAAGAAAACATTTGTCGCGCATAATTGAAACAATGTAACTTGGAGCGCGTGTGGCATGAATGCAGCAGCCACTTGCGCCACAGGTGCTTTACATTGAAGTGCCCGGGCCACAAGTTAGCCTCGAGTGTCGTCCTCTCCATACGAGGGCAGAGGGTCGATGTTGTTATTGTTAGCGTGCGCGCGGCTGCGTCATTTCACGGAGTTTCTGGTTCGCTAAAAAATCCCTCAAGTGGTGATGGAGACGGCAGGTGACGCAGGTCTTTGTTTGCGTTGTGTCCCTCAGGGGCTTGTGCGGGTCACCTTTGTTAGGTCTAGCGACAGTGACGGCGCTTCAAAAACAACACAGCCATTAGGACCGTTAGGCCACTCGTCGGCCTACACGCCTACGTTCTCACGCCACTCGCCGCCATCGCTGTAACCTCATAAATTATACGCAATTGATCTCTCTTTCTCTGCGCTGCAGCCTCGAATAATCGCAGTGCAGTGATCGAACTCAAGGAGCCAGTGCCTGCATTTCAGTGTTAAGAATTTGATACATGGCAATTGAGACTAGAGTTGCAGGTTCAAGCGAGCACTGCAAGAAGAGGAGAGTTGCGGGTTGGAGAGAAGGGATAACAGAGGAGGATAGAGCTAGAATGGATAGAAGGGTTAGAGAGAGGAGGGAAGGAAGAACGATGAAGCGAGAGTTGTGAGGTAAAAAGGTGGTGAGATGAAGCTGGAATGGATAGAAGCGGTGCCATGCAGAGATGAAAAGATTATAATCCAAAACAGAGGACATCTTTGTTAAGAAAACTACATGACATTTATTCTATATAACATATATTTTTGTTTGAATTTAATGTATTTACTCTCTACGTGCCCTGTTGTTATTCAAGTGTCGGAGGTGAAATTTGAAAAAAATAATTCAAATAAGATTCCATTGAGGGAAAATTTACCTTAATTTGCAACGGCTATTATATCCAAAGTTGTAAAAAATCTGACTTTTCCATAGAAGATATAAGGAAGCGGTAAGCATGACGCTCGAGAATGTGCTGATTTTTGTACGCAACACAGAAGATAAAGGGTATTATTTACGATTGGCGTAAGGGTAAGTGTATGTGTAGAGCAAAGCAAGGGCGGCCGAGGGCGCTGTGTTTGGCACCTGTAGCCCCGCCATGTGGCAGCGAGGGGAGATAAGCAGGTTGAGGGTAGTGGCCCTCAGCGTCGGCCTGTGAGGGCAGTCACGTGAGAAAGTCTGGCTCGGACCTCCTCGGCAATTAGAGTCAGGCAGCGGCTTGACCTGAGGCTCGTAAAAACACGAACCCAAAGATTAAAAAAATTGCAGGAGTGATAGTAATGAATTTGTTAAGCTTCGAAAAATTTTCGAGATCACATTCAATAGTTTAAATGTCGCTGCCTTGCGTATCTCTGCCATGCATATCCATGGAAATGAAGATCGGAATCATAGTTTTTTATTTATGTGCTCAGAATTTCTGTAAAAATGATTTAAAAATCGTGACCCCCAAGTATCTTTGCAGGATCCATAGAAATGCAGATCGGAATCACAGTTTTTTTATTTATCCGTAAAAGTGAAGCATTTTAAATCACAGAAGAAGTTTATTATTTCCAAATTTATGAAATGTACAAAATGTAAAAAAATATTTTATATTTGAAAAGAATTATTTTCAATCTCTGCCTTCACAAATTTAGCCTGATTATGAAAAATTATCCGCGCAAATGATTATTTAAATCAAAACGCTGAAACTTTTTCGAGAGCCAGTCTCAGTATTTCTTGATTTAAAAAATTAATCCCATTTACTTTGACTAAATGTTAAGGATGAGAAATCTTAAACATTTAATCAAGATAAAAACATAAAAAAGCATTTAGTAACATTCATCATGATTAACATTTAATCGTGATAAAAGTTTTCCTTAATATTTAAGGATGGCTTTTATTTAAAAAATTTAACCACATTTTGATAGAAAATAAAATTCTGTATGAAATATATTAAATACTAGCAACTTAAATCTGCATTGCCCGGGAAAGCGATCTTGCAAATTTTAAACTGCAAATTTCAAACTCTGTATTCAAAATTTACAAGAAACGAAAATCTTAATTTCAAAATGAAATATTATTTTACCAAAGTAAATACCAAATTTCAAATTACAGTAAACACCACGTTGATGATGTCACTCAGTGGCTCGTGACTCTCCCTTTTAATACGAAATTTTATTCCCATATAATTTTCGGCTACGATAAATATTGATAAATAAACACAAACACTCACAAACTTTAACGAATATATAATAGACTGATATTTTCTTCATAGTAAACTTTTAGCGGCTGATTATATGAAGCCAAATTTGTAAACTGAGAACGAAATTTTAAATGGAAAATATTTGGAGTGAAATGAAGTTCAAAAGAATTGTATATAAAAAAAATGTCTACTGCGTATTTCCGACCTCCCTTTTTACATTATCCACATTATAGAAAATACAATACGTTTCTGACTTAAAACGACAGACGAAGTTCATTCTTTGTTCTAGAATAAATTTCAGAACTTATTCTTTGAGGTGTAAATCCTATCTGTCCCTGAGCGACACTTGAGCTCTCAACTTACCCTTCCTTGCCGTCCTTCCCTCTTTCACCCTCACTCCACCAGAGGATGTGCCCTTTACTTCAAACTTACCTCCCTCGCATCATAAAATTACGCGTCACAAATGAGTTGCGCCTTTAAACCTTTTATGTGTTGCCTGAGATCACATATCAGCCAGACCCGCGGCTTAAAGACCGACCGCCAAACATAACACTTCACTTATGTCTTAAATTAAAGAATAATTAGCTACGCAGAAACAACGGGGGAAAATGCGCGAGACATTATTAATTATGTATACTTTTTGAATTTGTACACAGACTTTAGAATTACGGCAGTTCATATCTACGAAATGAAGAGAAGTGATAAAATTTATGCATCTAATGGACTATACTGTTGACCTATTTTAAATGGACCTGTTTTAATACGGCAGTTGTTAAGTATTTAAAGTGCTAAAGTAGGTAAACAATTTATGTTAAAGGCTGCGCAACCTGATTACTAATAACGGACATGAAATCTTTACCAAAACGAGGTTATGGTTACGCCGAGCGAAACAATTTTTTTTGTGCCACTTAACAGTAGATATTGATTGAAAATTTTTATAACTTAAAATAAACCATGGGCTATTAAAATTAAAATTAAATTTTACGGAGTGATTTATTTTCTGCACGCAGAGGCATGACGGATGATCAGAAGCGACCGTTCATCGAGCGCGCGGACCAGCTGCGCCAGAAGCACAAGCAGGAGTATCCTAACTACAAGTACCAGCCACGCCGACGTAAAGAGAATCTCAAGACCGTACCAGGCAGGAACTCTCCTCCTCCTAATGCCCAAGCTATTGGACAACAGCAGCAGCAACAGTCTCAGCACCTGCTAAACATGGCTCAACATCAACCGCAGTCGCCATTCTTGGGGTAAGCATGTCATACGTTAGTGCATAGCGTTTGCATGATAGTTGCGCACCATCCAGCGCACTAGATTTGAATTTTAGTGACTGATGAATTTAATGTTTAATTTTTTCCGTTACATCGTTAGTTATGGAAAGCTAATCAAAGGTGCATAAATGCAAAATTGTTGGAAATGACTAACGGTATGATATAAGCCTCATTTGAGTAGAATTCCAGCCGATTACATTATTCATTCTTTTTTTCTCAAACATGCGTGCAAGGCTATTTTTCTTAAAAAAATGTGTAAAAACTAATATTTCCAAACAATCGCTCACCAAATAATGATATGAATTTGTGTAAGGAGTGTATGAAAAACATCGGCGTGTATGGGTAAGGACAACCTAGATCTCAACTTGATTTTTCTGCTAGGGTGAAGAACGGAGGTCTCCTTGGGGCATCGCCCCTGTCGCCCCCTCACTCGCCGTCCGTCTTCCGCCACGACGACCCCCCACAGCTTGGCGAGACCGCGTTCGTGAGCGATTGCGTCACGGCCGACGCGCTTGACATCGACCGCGCCGAGATGAACCGATATCTCTGGCCCGACCAGTCCATCTACTCACAGTCTCCTCAGTTGGGCGGCACGTCTTCACCCAGCGGATCATCCCCCCTGACTTTGTCGACCACATCGTCACCTCACACTCTCTCCAACTCGCCTCACAGCCAGACAAGCGCTCCATCTCCCCTTGCCTACCCCACTCCAGTCCAGGCAAACGCCTCTAGTCGTGTCATAGGGGCACCTTGCCTGTACTCAGGACCCACATACTGCAACGTGTCGCCTCTCATCGCCAACAACTCCCCAGACACCGGGGAAGCGGCTGGAAGTTCATCACCTCCCCCAGCTACAGCAGACCTTGTGGAGCTGCAACCACCGAGACGGGACGAACCTCTCCCGTCGCTATCGGCACACAAGGGCATGAACCCTTTTATTCCTAACAATATTTACTATTCTCAACCCTATGCCTATAATTATGCCTCGTATTCATATGCCACGTCGTGGCAATGACATAAGAAGTTTAAGCAAGAGAGGCCAAGTCGAGATCAGAGCTCCTCCCAGGCAGAGGATAGCGTATATGCCGCGTCAGGTGAGTACTCAGATGCTTGATACTTCCAGCCCGGAAAAATTTGTCTATTGAATTTTTGAAAAACTTCTTCCCTTGAAAACTCTCGCGCATTTATAAGAGTTTGTTCCTTCCTTCCTAATATACATATGTTCCTGTTTATTCTAGGAAGTTAAAGTAAAACTTGATTTAAAATTTCCTATATATCAAACTTTGTTGAGCAGCATTAAATATCAGTTCAAAATTTTCGTGCTTGCTGAATGTTAAGTGCTATTTGAAGCCTTCGATAAATAATTTCTAGTCGTTTCCACCTCTAAGCACAAAGTTTTGTGGTATTTTCAAAAATTTGCCTCTTACCATATATAAAAAATTAAATTCACGTGTCCGACGGATGGTTTCAAACTGTACATTATTATTTTGAAACAAGACGCCAATTTATATTTTGTCTAATTTATAGTTTCCTATGAACAAATTCTTACATTAGGTTGGTATCACGCCGTTATAGCTACTGCAGTTGCTATGGACAAAATCACTTCTTGCGTTGAACGTTAAAATTCAATTAGAAAAAATTTCCTCTGAATGAATTTTTTTGAAAAAATATTGTTAGAGAGAGACGTTTGTGACGTTGATGATGTCACTCACACATGCATGCGACATGGGAACACTCATGGCGAAAAAGCTACGTAACGAAATTTTAAATTTTCTTATGGCTCACTCTCACTTCCGAGGTCTCAGGCATGGTTAAAGAAATTCCTTCATCAAGTCATGACTTTTGACCAAGTCTTCTGTTTATCACGGTAGCACTTCAACCTCTAATAAGTGTAGAGACTGACACGTGCTTCCAGGATCTTATGTATATATTAGCCTATATTTCATGTTGCCTTGTGGGCGTCTTCAAGGCTTGATTTCTCCTTATTTAATTAAATTATCTCATAACTTTCTCTTTAAGAAAAAATTGGTCTGCTTAATCCAAAGACAATATTAACAATTAGAGTTGGTCTCATGGTTGGTCTTACTCGAAGGTTTTTTTTATGATGTTGAACACCTAGTTATATTGAAAAACAGCGAAATTGTAAACTCTATATTTAATTTTTTCTTTTGCTTTTAGTGTTTTAACCAATACTTGTGTAATATGCTGCATTTAAAATCAGTCCATGCTGCTTTTCATATTTTTTCAGCGAAGCCTTGGAATTCTTATGTTTAATTTTTAATTCTACAAAAGTGTAAAATGGCTGAAATTTTTAGCCTTCGCCAAAATCTGAAACGAAGCGACGAAAAAAGTTGGACCAAGTAGTCATAAGATGATGGAGTCATGCCTTTGATCCAATAAAGAAAATTGGCGCTGTAAGGAGAAACGTAGCACAGAAAAAGTGCTTCATTCATAAAATGTAAACTAAACATCGTTCATGATCATGTATATCAGTAAATTTGCTGGTTTCTTTGGGTCCATGGCTATTACCTTGATAGCTAGAGTGGCAGAATGTGTCAAAACATAGAATACCAAATATATACCACGTGATTTTAACTTCCATCTCTATTTTGCACTGTTTAATTAAACATTTTCAAACGTATGCCTATTTTAAACGCCAAGAAACGTGCCTAGTCAGTCATACAAAATTCAGAAATAGTTACTCTACACGTATGTGATTTGTTTATGGATGAACTTTTCCACTGTGCTATGCTGATCTTTTTTTTTTGTAGCTTTCATAAGTATGCACTGGGCCAAAGAGCACGAAAAATTCATAGTATTAAGTGCGAGTTATTGTTCTTTTACTTTGAGATCTGTACGAGAATTCGATCGGGAATCATTGTACACCCTGTATTATGAATTATTAGGAGAAATGACTGCTTTAGCCTTAAGTTTTGACGGCTAAATACTTTTGAAGTCGAGAACAATACTATGTACAAAAAGAAGCGCTAACAGGTAACAAAATACTTGTAGTATTGACCGTAGATTTCATATACGCTTGAAACATTTCGCTTGACAATGCATACAATTCCACAGTGGAGCGAGTTTCGGCTGTGAAGCTCGACTTGTTTTGAGTGTGAAATTCTTTACGTCGTGTGTCAAATTTTGAGATGAAATGTCAGACAATCAAATATAAAGATGAATGGACAAGTTAATTTTGTATATATTAGAACTCTTTAAGATTTGTTAAGCCTATGGCGTGCTGTATTTTTAGTTCATTTGAGTTTTACTTTTAAGAGTATGTGCCATTTTTTCAGAGGCGACTTCTTTCTTTAGTGAAATTATTGGTTATTGTGATCCTGCATACCTGCTATGCCTTTGCAGTCCTATGCCACGGCATGCAAATTAACAGGCTCTCCTAGACGCTTGACTCATCACGAGTTACGATATGGCCCCTCATGAGTTACGATATGGCCCCTGATGTCCCCATGAGTTACGATCTGGCCCCTCCCGGGTCCCCATGAGTTACGATCTGGCCCCTCATGTCTCCATGAATTACGATCTGGCCCCTCATGAGTCCCCATGAGTTTCGATTTGGCCCCTCGTGGGTCCCTATTAGTTACGATGTGGCCCCTCATGGGTCACCATTAGTTACGATCAGGCCCCTCATGGGTCCCCATGAGTTACGATCAGGCCACTCATGGGTCCCCATTAGTTACGATGTGGCCCCTCATGTCCCCATGAGTAAAGATCGTGCATGACTCGATATTCTGCTATCAACTCATGTTCTTTGTCGAGTAGAAAATTATTTCCCAACTTTCAATATTTGGCTAATAAGCTCTACCTACGTAAAGCGAACTTTTTTATTTAATTGCGACAAGATACCAACCTAACAGCTTTATTTCTTTGTTGTGTTAAAATTATTAATTTAACACTTCTTTTCAAATAAACGTACTGCCAGTTACCAAAAAATGCCAACCGATTTTCCATAACCTTATCGATTTGAACGTACACTATCTATCAAGTTAATAAATATTTTGATGATTCCTCTGCCTGGTGCTGAATTTATAATATAAAACGTATTTAATGAAAAAAAAACTTATTTTATATACAGCTGAACCATCAAGCTGCACTGGTTTCAGGTTCCTTGGGCAATACGAGCAGCTATGCTCATTATTGACAACCATAGAAAAGAGGTCTTAATTCCGAGTTTAATATGCTTTATATTTTTATCAGCAATTGTTGCGACTGAAATGCAACGTAAGAAAGCGCCAGCATAGGAAAATTCTGAATTGAATGCGGATTTAAATTTAAAGAAGTATCAGCATTAGGGAATTTTGAGTCAAGACACAACACAGGATGTCAGCTGGCAGCTAGGGTGAGTGAATAGAGGAAGAGGCTGGAGAGGGTGACTTTAAGGACAGAAGCTGCAGTGAGGGAGACTTAATTAAAGGAAAAGGCTAGGGTGAGTGTGATAGTGGCTTAGGTAATTGTAACTAAGAGGAGTTGAAATTAGGTTGAGAGAGGACAGTCGCCTCTGCAAGTCATCCTCACAACTATGAATTATTTAACCAGATTTAATTTTCTGTTTTTATTCATTGATACTACAAATTTTCCCACAAGTTTCAACTTAACGAAGAAACGAGGAATTTTTTTTCAATTAAAAGTACCTGCAGAACTTCCGAGCTTAGAAACGAAAAAGAAAGCGGAATTAACATGATGTCTCTAAACAAGCTCACTACCACCATTTGATGAGGCTTATAATGCTGAGCAAATTTATCACACGAAAAAAACTTCACGAATAATCAGACATGTTGGCCGCTCCGAGGTCAGCACTCACCCACGACGTGGTCGCGCAGTTTATTTTTCCGAGCGTCAGTGAGACTTGGAAAGCTACAAGTGATATGCACGACGTCAACAGCGTGGAGCTCTGAGTCAACAAATGCCTGCTACAATACCAGAGTTACGCCTTTAACGTACGCCTCGATATACGCTTATTGAAAACGTCTTACCGAACTCGAACAGCTCCATGTGCGTAAATTTATTATACGCAGAGTTAAAACGTGAACACAGATAACACGCATACCTATATGCTCATATTCCACGCCTTTTGGTAGGAAACATTGGCCAACTACTTTTCCGTCCTTATGCCGGGCCAAATTAGGCTAAGATGACCCACAAAGGGAAAAGTGAATAACTATTTGAAAAAAATCTCACTCATTTTTGTGAGTGCAGCATCCAACTGGGGAAGATATTAAGAATGCACGACGGTGCATCAGTGGGCATCTAATCGATGTGTTGAGTTCATCCGAGCAAGCTTACATCATCTCGTACACCCGCTGTGCATGTGCGCATTGACTCCGTTCCCCGAACTCATCAATTGCACAACACCGCAGAGTTGACTTTGTCACAGACTTGCATGCTGTCATCAAGTGGTAAGCTGCTTACCGTCAACTATGCCTTTATAATAATTCTGGTCTGAAAAAGTTATCCCAGAAATTACAATGTCTGGTGCAAGGGCCATGATGAATGAGAACTTGAGAATTTAAACTTTATTCATGAAACTGGTCTCTGAAATTGTCGCATGGGCAGAGTGTTGCTTTACGAGTACGACAGTTGCAGGTAGCCACGACATTGGTCACTTTGTTAAGAAACTTCTTGCTGGATATTAACTCGGCGATTTTACTGAACGATAGGAACGTAAGAACAGGAGAAATAATCAACACTGATCAATTTATTCCAGAAACTACTGGCTAGCCCGGAATATTTTTACAACTCGGTGTCGCAAGTCCGAAGCAGTATACGAGTTCAGTTACGATAAAAGCTACGAACTATTTATATGAAGAGCTACTGGCATGAGAATTGAGGCGATGAATCTTTTATGAGGCAGCGAGGCTCGGCATGCGGCTAAGAGGCGGCCTCTAGTGGCACGAGGCCGTGGCTTTCCGGTGGGCACGAGAGCTCCTGCAACAACGAGGTCTTTGATGCCCAGGCCCCGCGCCCCCTTCGGCGTGGGGAGGAAGGGGGCAGAGAGTGAGGAAGAGATGCGAGGTAAAGGTTCTCGAGGCTCATCCTCAATGTTCAGGCAAGAGTAGAAGTCGGTATGAGGATTTATGCTGTGGATGCGGCTCATTAAGATGGGCAAGCCAACGCTCGGCTTACTGCTCCAACGCATCAAATGCTGAATGATATTGCATAGAAATAATAAGCAGAACATAAATTCATCACAGAATAAAGACACGATACTGAAACGTGATATTAGGAGGGTTTCTTCATTATATCATCATGTGCCCGTAAATACAGCAGTTCAAACGCTCTAAAAATATTTTTTCATCATCACTTGTGAAATTCGGAAGATTTTTGGAGCAGCATATCAGAAGTCAACTTATTGAGAAGCATAAGATTTTTACACACAATTTTTATTTATTTTTCAAGGTAACTATAATATCACCTGTTGAAGCAGGCACCACATGGACTAATAATGGAGCTTGAGTATGTATATCGGGAATCGCATCCATACAAGTAATAAATTTGTGTATTCTAGTAAAACAGGTGCACAAACCTGAATTTCAAGTGGGCGAAGCCCACTTACAATTTAAATTTAATTACCATTTCAAATTTAATTACATCGCTCAATGCACCGGCCTTAGTGTTTGGAATTACTTGACTTGAAACGCATCAATTTCCAATATCTTGAACAATATGTTCCGTGGCAACACAAAATGAAATGTCAAGTAGTTATATGAAATTAGTGAGAGACAATCGAACGTAGCTCATCTTCATTTGTTGTGATGAAGGTTTTCAAAGACCTACACCCTGTTGAGCGTGGCACAAGCCCACGCACGAATTCGTCTACTCATCGCGATAACAATTATTTAGCTACAGATAAGGTGTGTTCAATATAGTTGTTAGATCACACAGTAGATGAAGACTAATTAATAATACAAAAAAATTATTCGTGCTCGATTTTGAACTATTTACTCCACCGTACCTTGCGCATGCGTCTGAATGAATGAGACTAAACACTAAATGAACACAAGTCTGACAATGAAAGAGGCGCACCTTACGATCAAATCTATTAGCCTCCGTGTCTCGACAAAAGGCATCAAAAATAAATTCCTATATTTATTATACTATATTTTCTGAGTTTTTATTAAAAAAAAACGTTTTGCTCACAGATTAATAGAACTGCGAGATTCAAACGATCGTAAAGAACTATATCACGAGTTTTTGATCACTTGGATCCACCAAATTCCGTAGATTATTACATAGTGTAAACTGTAAATGTTATTTTAATCATCAAAAACATGAGTAGGTCAATAAATGAGGAGCTTAATCACAGAAAACCGTTTTTCTGAACTTCCAACTTACTTACAAACAACATTCATCACATTAGGCGAGTCAAATACAAAGTTAAATCTTAGCTTTGGTTGAAAAGATATCAGATGCAAAAAATTGCGTAGTAAGATAAAATAAATATAGAAAGGAGTTACCAAATTCTTTAGACAGATGGCTATCGACTAAACTTCCAAACAATTCGACTGATTCACAAACATACTGCAGATGAGAATGGATACAGAAAGTGAATAAGGCGGAGGCCAAACTCTGATTATAAGTCATTATGAGTCTCGAGAAAAGTTTGTTGTTGCAGTGAAGATGTTGGACTGCATGGCTGCCTTTTGTTTACATAAGCGCACTGAAGACGCCGCAGAGTTTATATTATAACTCGATCAATATACAGTTCGACTTACTCGTCCGATTTATAAAACTATCGCGAAGTAACAAGAATCGCAGTTCAAATGGAGCCGTAAAATCGATATTAATGATTTTGTTCACAAATGCTAACTAACATCTGAGGTCACAGAGGATATCAAAACTGCTCGTAACTTGAAGATAAGAATTAATAGAATATCGAGTACCTGCAGAACCAGCATTATTACTACGTTTTAATGGGTTTTACAATAAAAAAAAATATTAAATACGTGAAAACGTGTTGCACTCAGCCTTAAACTAATTCCACTTTTTTACATACAAAATTAATCTAAACTACGGCACGAAAATCATTCCGTCACATCTGACTACTTCTTCCAGCAGCCATAAAAACCAAGATGAACATGTTACGGACGTTATGTTGTTCTTGCTTTCGTTCAAGTGGGAATTGCATAGAATACGAAGAGCTAAGAGGCAACGGCGATTTATCAACGTACGGGCAACTTATTCGTTGGTACAATAGGTCCTCGAGTCATGAAACGCGGAATACAATATTAGAAAAAAAAAACTTTGCCAAAATTTGTCATTGCCCGTCCATTCAAGAAATAATGTGACTGTAAACTATCTGAAAACAATTTAGTGACCCACGAGAGCCTCGAAGCGATCACAGATACAACAATGCGGATGAAGTATTAGATCCTCGAGGCTGCTTTCTTGAACAGAATTAATGAGTAGGATTTGTAAACAAACGTTGGCCACTTGAAACGCAGCAGCTGAGCAACCTTCGCCAGACCTGTCACGGACCTCCTAAGCGGACCTCACTTCACCGGGAATTTAATCAAACCAAGCAATAATGCCACAAAGATTGCTTTGAAATTCTAATAATATGAAGCGGTACATTTTGAACGTAAGAAGGAAGCATAAATTTATGCTCAAAGTTCTTTAGGAGAACGTTTCCTTGCGAGCGCAATTTATAATTACGTATAATCTCCATGAATAAGTATATATCACTATCTGAGCGCAGGGGCAAATGCAACACGCTGTTTGCAACTTCGGGAAAAGCAGAACATCGCCACAGTATCCCGCTTGTCTTCAGAAGTCTGGTATTCCCGAAGCGCAGATTCAAGAGGCAAGATTTGCAAACACATGGAAACCGGCAAAAAAAAAATAACTTAAACGGAGGCTAATCTATTTACATGGTATGCCACCGCCTCATCTCAGTTACCTACTAAAGTAATAACTAAATCTCTTGGTAGTTCCTTTGCAGACGGTTCATAAGGTATATGGACTACCACATTATTCACTCATGTGGGTAATGTGACCTCACTTGCAAATAAGCTGGTGTTTTTAATTCCAATTTTTAGATACAATGAGAAAAATACCATAGAGAGCTAAGCCACCTGAAGTGCAGGTAAGACTGTCGTTACAAAGGGGAAAAATAAACAGAAGTTACGTCAACTATGGTAAAAAATATCAAGTTTTTAATAATATGCGTTGCTGTCTGGATTCATCTTGGGTCGGTGTTGACATCGCCTAGATCTGGAACCTCAGAAGAGCTGGGGGAGGATGAGGCCTGGTCTTGGGCAGGATCTGAGGAGCTGGCGTTCGAGTCCAGTGAGCCTGAGGTGTCCATGTCATTCTGGAAAATAATTACGTACTAAACATGAGAAATAAAATAATGCATATTTAAGATCAGAGTTTTTGATGGTGATAAATACGAGTTGCAACACAGCTTTAATGAACTTTCACGTGTTAACATATGACTACTGAATTACGTACCTTAAGTAACACTCGTCATCGCACCCACTGCATGGAATAAACCGACTAGCATTATTCGGCTATGAATTTTATAGGCTTGTACCATACGAGAATTAACAAGTTTTATATGAGTTTAAACCAACTCTGAAGAATAACGTTTGCAAACTTGAGCTTTGAAGACTGTTACCGCTTGAGCGAGATTTTTCTGCCTCCGCCTCTCGTTCTTGGCGAGCTGGGCTTGTTGCTTGGCAGCAGCGTTGGCGGCGAGTCGAGCCTCCCGCGCCTGCTTCCCGTAGGCGATGTGCTGCGGTAGCGACACGTAATTTCGCGGTCTGGTCGCCATTAGCGCCTCAGGTACAGCAACGTCTGCGCACCCAGCGACCACAATAGAAAGTTAAAAGGAAAGTATAAATAATGCAACGGCCATCACGTGTTACGTATGCAGCACCGTCCGATCAGCTAAGTTAAGCAACGTTGGGTTATGTGTTGTGTAGTCCATGTGTTGTGTAGTCCATACTGTGATATATTAAGGTTAATTAGCATTTGTTTAAATTCAGTACACTTTTTGAAATATACCATTAATCTGAGTCTCTAGTGTTGAAATCATACTGATTAAAAGGAGCCCAAGTTAGATCGTTGGAGGAGGGAAACGCCTTCTATCATTATTAAAGAACGGGCAGGTCACTTAATTAATGTCATATTCTTTAATAAAATTTACGAATATTACCCAAAGGTCAAACGATTTTTGAGAGAGTTGATTTCCATTATATTTGACGAGGTTTCTTATAATGTAAACAAACCGAAGGCAGCTTTTAATTCTGATGTTTCTACTATGGTCTACCAAGACGATCATATCTAAAATATAGCATTACTTTTAATTTTGAATAACTGATGTACAGCCTCTTAGAGCATCATATTTGAGTGAATTATTTGTGTTCGGGTGCTGCTGCCGTCTTAGAAGAGCATCCGGAATAAAAAATCTTATTATAATTGAGCCCTTCAACCATCGCTAAAGAATCCTCTACATGTACCTTGTCAATCAAATCAATAAAAAATATTGCGACAATACATGCAGATCATGTGCAGAGATAATGATGTTAATATAAGGAACAACAGTAACCTATTTAAATATCATTACCTACTGTTCGACATTCCAACATCAAATAAATATCACTTTCTTAGAAATACGAGCGCCTCTATTTGCGCAACGCTAACCGCACTGACTAACACGATTCTGAAATGTTCACAGGACCCACCGAGTATCTCGGGCAGCATGTGTGCCTTGAGCCAGCCGACCAGGGGCGTGGGGCCGTGCGTGTAGTGACCTTCCTTGTGGTAGAAGAGCAAGCCGTCCAGGGGCAGCCCTTCAAGACCTGGGTGCTGTAGCATGGCTTGGATGTTCTCAGGCGTGCTAGGTGCGTGCGGCAGGCCCACGAAACTATAACCAAATGTTAATCTGTTAACTAAAGGGCTTTGGGAATAATTCACTATCTCTAATAGAGGTCTGCTAACTCCTGGCGCCTGAGTTAATACCCCAAAAACTAACTGCAAAATGAAAAATATCATTTTTTTATCAAAATATACTGCAAAGCTACAAATAAAATCAAGCATGTCGAGTGACTATAATAACTGAATATGAAGGTTTAGGAACTTATAAGTTGACGGAAGGTGATTCATGTATTGTTTGTTCTTTATTAACTATAGTGTACGTTGAAAATTTAAAGCCTGATAATATTTTAAACTTCAAAGTGGAATTGCAATTTCCAATTCAGAAGTAAATCCTAAGCGTATGATCCAAATGAATACAAAATTGTAATCTAAATCATCTGAATTGATCGGAAATGTGGAAATTTGTTTGCAGGAAGAAGTATTTACGATTGGTACAAGGCATGGAAGGTTACTAGATCTCCAACACCCAAGCCCCACCCACCGATAAGCGTTGTCGTCTGACACAACTGCAGGGTCTGGTGAGGATTCTTTCAGTCTAGATGTTAGCCACTGTAGCCGGAACTGCGTCTGTACAGGCAGTAATGAGTTAGTCATGGACATGGAGAACAATGCAACCAAAGCAAAGTAACAAAGCTTGGAGACGCTGGTAGCTTTCATGTATGGAAGATAACATAGGAGATAGAATTCTGATCAAACTGTAAAAATTGCTAAATAAATATGAAATAAATATTTTACCTGGCAAAAATGTAACGTTTATAATAGTGCCTGCCCTGAACTAGTTGAGCAGTTTGAATAGCGCAAATACAAAACCGTATCTAATACAATGTATGAACACAAAGACGATATCAAGCACAACTATCGATTTATTACTGCAGAAAATACAAGAATATATGTACCACTTCTTATTAACATTTCTCAGTTTATGATAAAACCCTTTATCAAGCAAACAAGGAAAAATTTAATACCAAGTCACTATAAGAACAATCGAACCAAATTCGAGATGTTCTGACCTCACAACCCCTAAAAGACTGGTTCATCCAGGCAATCAGAAGTCTGACCTCACAGCCCATAATGGACTGGTTTATCCAGGCTCTCAGAAGCCCATAAAAGACTGGTTCATCCAGGCTAACAGAAGCTCATAAAAGACTGCTTCATCCAGGCAATCAGAAGTCTGACCTCACAGCCCATAAAAGACTGGTTCATCCAGGCTATCAAGTCAAGCGCATAGAATGTGTTGGTCTCGTAGCTGACGATACAGTCAATCATAGAGTAGCCTCTGGGCGAGGTCACGGGACACCCACCAGGCAGCACTGAGTAGAACCTTTCCATGCACTTGCCGTTGCGTCCGTACATGTATGTCAGCCCCTGAAATTACACATGATGTTCACTTAAATAACTGAAATGCGAGGCGAAGTTAGTGTGAGATTGATTGTCTTTAAATAAATGTCCATGAGAGTATTCCTTGCGCTGTAATAAATGAGTTAATACATTATGAACCATGTATGCCAGTCATTTTTGTGGACCAATCATATGATCCTATTCCTAAGCATGTTCTATATTCGGTTAGCCCTAAATAATGAGAAACAGGCCTGGTAACAATATCATGCACATGTCGACAATACACTGAAATCTTCCCTCAAAGTTCCCCTCAAAAATTACAGTGCAAATAACCACTAATTTGCTTTGTAATTAAATAGTGTCAGTTATTCGCCACATCTTAATGACAAACGGTAAACTTATCTGTCACAATGACAAAATTCAACAAATGAGACGAGACAGTCAGTTTAAATATACAAGTTAAAACAATCCTTTAAATATTTATGAATGTTGGTTGTTTTCTAATTGTTACCTATATACCTGAGCTCAACATTTCATGTTTCACAGCCTAAATAACGGTGATTTATAAGAGACAATCATTATAATAGCGAGAACGGTTCAGTAGATCACTAACGACAATCACAGAAATGATCATCAAACGATTTCATCATATTTTGAAGCTATCGACCATAAAAATAGGCCCCCTGTAATCGCTTAAATCACCCATAACTATATTAAAACAAATATACAAGTATAGCCTCTTACACTGCCAGACACAACGAGCACCCTGGTGCCCACAGGGCAAGGCACCACCACGTAGGAAGAAGCGAACGTGTCAGGCACCTCCACCAGCCACTCGCTCAGCATGAGGAAGTCCTGGTAGCGCTTAGGCCGCCTGTAGCACATCTCCACTTCCTGTAATCATTAACATCTTATCTTAAGGATAAGTAATAATGAAGACAACATCTTTAAATCTTATCTCAGCTTATTTCTAATTTAATGATGAAAAATCGGAAGCTTAAAAGATAATTAATACTGTAGCCAGGAATGAAATCCCATGAGAACTGTTTGAGCCACATACCCCATTTCACATAACAAATTTTATATAAATCGTGACAGATTTTATATAGGTATATACACATATAAAAGAAAACTTATTTGGGTTTCCTAGTGTATACATATATACCTACGTAATATTGTTGTGATTGTAACATTGGAGGCCTGCACCAGCATAGTTATGCAGTGCTCTGACGATTCAAGACTATTATAGCTGAGGCCCTCACTATCAAAAGCAAGTCTCCAGCTACCCACCTCCAAACTACAGGATTTGTATGGACGCCGAAACTATTTTCAGAGTAATTTCAAGCTTAGATTTCAAACTGTACATACAAGACTCTTGATTTGTACTACTATCATTTGATTCATTTCCAAAAGTTCAGTTTCAAGTACTGTAATAAACCCTTCACCTGCTTGATAATGAATACTGTACATTCAAAACGTCACATTCAATCAAAATGTCATTTTGTAACCTGATTTATTATCTCCCTGTGCCAGCATGAAATATTGTTAGACTCGTTGAAAAAACAAATAAGAAGATTGTTAATAAAAAATGCTCTGGTCTTTAAACAAACTTGCATATTTATATATATACCTATATAGATGAAAACTTGAGTGATCTTACAACTATCATCACCTATCAGAATATTACCTCATTTTAATGATCCGGTCAAAAAATATAGATCATATTTTGTATACTTGTGTGTCAATGCTATTGATCGGCATGATTTAATCAACACTGACATCAGAGCAGTCAACAAATCCCGACATATATGGCCAAAGGCATTTAAAAGTATATACGGTAACTCACCTCCATAATGACATCTTTGACATCAGAATCTGTGTTGGAGGAGGAAATCTCAGTGGGTGGGTCCAATTTTTCATCCACATTACGCATGTGCATCAGAAGATCGTAACGTGCCCTGGAAAAAGAAGTATAATTAGAATGGATCCTGAAAAATGTACCTACCAATGTACGTATGTAATATTTACCAAATTTCAAATCATTGATCTTCAGAACCTTCCTCCTGCACAAAAAACATACAAACTGATAATATAGGTATATAGCTTCCAATTAAATTTACAGCTATTTATATTGTCACAAAATTATTTCTTATCTACATATAAATACATTATCTTAAAGGCATTGCAGTTTTCATGACTATCTTATAACCATTTAAATGGGAACAGATGGAGATGAAAACATTTGTATGACAAATGACATTACTTACAAGGACCGGGCAGCAAGGACAGCTTTCCTCCTTGCTTCTTGTGAAGACTTGCTTGTCTTGCACTTGAAATTTGAAAAACGTGGATGTTCAGCATGAGTGCTGTTGTGATGGCTACTTACATTAAAGCTGTTCAGGCTATCCAGCACCTCATCCATATTGTGACAGAATTTATCAAGTATAAATCTACTCAGATATTGGTGATAACCTTGAAAACTCTCAGGTTGAATGTGATTTAAGAAAATTAAAAAGATTGAATGGCTGGAATCAAATCAAACTTTTTAATGATAATAAATATAGTCAAACAATTAATGTTGGACTAAATTTTTTATTTAAAATCTAGTCTAAGAATTATGTATGTAAAATCTGACTGAAAATCTGATAAAACATAAACAAGCTTCACTGGTAAAGTTTGACTTAAGTTGTTCCTTTATGCAAGTTTGGTTAATGATTAGAGAAAGCTTTTTGTTTCTATTTTTCTGAAGCACCAGGTACAATTGCAAATGATTAATCTATCTGTCAACACAGCTTTGATCTGTATCTACCACCTGGATTGATTGGTATCCCTCACTTGCATCATATTGCCCACCAAATCAGTATTAATCATTCAATGTGGAATTTTGAATCAAAATTTATGGAGTAGAATAATGGCAACTGCCAATATATTATGAAGTTAAATATTTGACATATACCCAGCACCTGAGAAATGAGTTATTTACACAAAAGATATTTTAAGAAACATGGAAAATGAATTTATAGCACAAAAAAATGAAAATAATTAAAAGCACAAAAACTTCAACACTGACTAAAGCAAAGCAGACTTGAGCTATGTCTTTGGGATCGAGTCACAAGATTTAAAAGTTTTTAACATTGCAGCCACATCAGACATGATTTGAGTAATAAGGTAAACAAGCCTTATATTATATTATATAATAACCTGTATGCAAGACCTCAAAATTAAGCTAAAACGTTTGTCGCACTGCATTGAAAAACCTTAAAAAACTATTGCTAAAAATGCAAAAAAGAATCCAAAAGCCTTCTTTTTGTACGCTAGTTCAAAGTGTAAGTCAAAGGACAGTATATCTGATTTGAAAGTAGACCAACGAAAGATTTCCTCTGATGAGGGCAAGGCAAATGTTTTCAATCAGTTCTTCAGCAGTGTACTCACAGCTGAGGACTTGAACAGTAGTCCAGATATTGAGGAGCGCCCAGTCGGCTCGAAATTAACCGGTTTTGAAATACACAAAGAAGAGGTTCTCAAGCGCCTGGTAGCTCGAAATCCCAACAAGTCATGTGGACCAGATGGCTTCCATTCCAGATTGCTCAAAGAATTAGCAACCATTCTGGCCAGCCCATTGACAGCATTCTTTCAAAATACTTTGAACAAAGGAACTTAGCCGTCCAACTGGAAGGAAGCTCAAGTATCACCATTGTTCAGAAAAGGTGACAAAAGCAGCCCTGGCAACTATCGCCCTGTCAGTCTGACAAGTGTTGTATGTAAGCTAATGGAATCTGTTGTGAGGGATAGGATTATCAATCACTCAACTGCTCACCATCTCCTATCAGATTGTAGACATGGTTTTATTGCCGGTAGATCCTGCACCACTAACTTATTATCTACATTGAATGATTGGACTTGCTTGCTGGATGAAAGGGAGCCAGTGGATGCATTGTTCCTCGATTTTGCCAAAGCATTTGGCAGTGTTCCGCATGAGCGACTGTTGTGTAAAGGGAAGTCTTTGGGAATTGAGGGAAATGTACTCCAATGGAGAGTTTTTCTAGTAGGTAGAGGACAACGTGTCAGTATTAACGGTACCGTGTCAGACTGGGCATCAGTGCGCAGTGGCATGCCACAAGGAAGCGTTCTTGGGCCTATTTTGTTTGCTTATATAAACAATCTGCCAGAAGCAGTGTCCAGCATGTGCTCCAATACAGCTCCATGTATGCCAACAACACAAAAGTTTATAATTCAGTGAAGGATGCATCAAATAAAGCGTAATTGCAAGATGATCTTGACAGTTTAGTTAACTGGGCTGATATGTGGCAGCTGTGGTTTAATGCTGAGAAGTGTAAAGTACTTCACCTCGGGAAGAACAATGAACAGCAAGATTACAGTATGAGAAGACATGGTGCAAGGAGAGAGTAATGATTGAAAAGTCTAGTGTGGAACAAGATCTCGGAGTTTATGTTGACAAGGAGCTGAAATTTTCTAAGCATGTTGAAACGCAAGCTAACACATCCAACAAACTTCTTGGACTAATCAGACGCTCATGCAAGTTCCTAGATGCAGAAGCGATGAAGCAGTTGTTTGTTGCTGTTGTGCGCCCAAATCTAGAGTTTGGAACTGTTGTGTGGTCACCAAGATTTGAAAAGGACAAAAATTTAATAGAGAAGGTTCAAAGAAGTGTAACAAGGATAATTCCAGGCTTGAAGGGCAAGTCCTATGAAGAAAGATTAAAGATTATGAAGCTTCAAGCCTCAGTTATTGACGTCTGCATGGGGACCTTATTGAAGTATACAAGTATACTCATGGTTTATACAAGGTCCCCAAAGGATTACTAGAATTTGAAACAAGAACCAACACCAGGGGCCATGGCTATAACCAAAAAAAAAAAACTGCGCTGCAACTTCTCCACGCGACAAAATTTCTTCTCGCTTCGAATCACCGACATGTAGAACAGCCTCCCCGATGACATCGTTGGTGCTCTCAGTATGAACGCATTCAAGAACCGACTAGATAAAGCTATGGAAAAATATATGTTCAAATTTGAAATGCCTAGCACCATATCAAACGCGGTGGCTGGTGGAAGTCGAGTAGCTATTTCAAACTATTGTCAGTGATGAAAAGATCCGGTCAAATGACACGATTTTAGATCTTCTTTGAACAAGGCATGAAAAGGAAAAGAATCGGCAACAGGCCACATCAGGCCTACACTTCAGCACCGAGATCACTATGTTATGTTATGTTAAGCCAAGGTGCAAACTGCAAAGAGTAAGTAAATAATTGAATATTTCAGGCACGATATCAGAGTAATAAGGAAAATAAGCCAAGCCCAAGGTGCAAAGAGTAAGTAAATAATTCAATATTTCAAACATGATTCCAGTCATAAGGCAAATAAGCCAAGGTGCAAAGAGTAAGTAAATAGCTAATTGAATATTTTTGACATGATTTCAGATTTTCAGTTATAAGGTAACTAAGCCAAAGTGCAAAGAATAAGTAACTTAGTAAATAATTAAATATTTTTGACATAACACAAGGCACAAGCAGTGATAACCATCAAAATCTATGTCTACCAAAGACTGGTAAAGTATTTTTTTTTTAAATAGCTCTCTGAATGTATTTTCACAAGAAATCTTGATGGTTCAAGCAATTCTGGCAAGAAATCCTCAGTAGTTCTGGACTTCTGGTGATTTATTGGAATTAGAATTTTTTACTTTTTAGCAACATATTGTTGCTCCAAGGTGACAAATTTTCAGTACATTTTGAATCATACACTTGCAACATGCAGCCAAGCCAGATCATGCATTTTTGTTAACAGTACGATAGGAAGTAGCCTAATTAATCTAGCAGAATCTCATGGCACCAAAAATGGTGAGAAATTTGTAGGTGCAGCTCAAAATGTGGATACCTACCTATATAGAAATTTAGAATGCCAGTGATATACCTAGCCTATATGTGACCTAAAAACTGATATTGGTGATACATTATTTTAGACACAAATTCACACAATTGCCAACTCTGCATAATTCCTGATACTGAGATCAGTGAGATGCAGGTCCAACCGCGGAACCGCCCATGGGCACAAATGACAAATCACAAATGTGATAATAAGACAGCAAGACAAGTTCATTGGTTAGCTAGGCAGGTCTGTGGACTAGGCTCCCTAGCATGGCTCGACACGATGGCATGACACGATGACAATGAGTGAATGACAATATATATTCAAATATTTGTAGCAATAGGTGCGCAGTGAGCTGTTACCTTATTTTACCATAGTATGTAGAGACTAGAGGCTACTAATACTGAACCTAAAAAGTTAAAATCCAATAAGATATTTGCTGAATAATAAAATGTGAAGATCATTCGGGAGTCGGGACCTCGATCGTCATACTAAACACAAAACGCAACACAACACATTATAAAACGAACACAACGCAGCGTAGCACACGGCTGAACAGCTATAGGCTGATATATCCAGAACACGACTACGTGTTCTGGATATATCAGTTTTATATATATCAATCGTTCGGTAGGCTATGAGGTAGGTATTGACTACCTATTTTGCGTAACCTCTAATAAGCTCAAAATTGGTTGCCAGTATTTAGGAATTTTAGGTTAGTGCAAAGAAATGAGAACTTTTATTTGACATGATTTAGGTACTAATATGACGGTGACCTGCACACCAGTTGGAACTTGGAGGCTTTAACACCAAACGTCGGAACGACTGGCCTGCTCAGCTGAGCTGCAACGAAATGTTGGAATTTGGAAAACACTCAAAACACCCGGCATCTTCAAAGGGACGCAGTATAGACCCCTACATAGCCCTTGCCCACAATTCATTGAAGAAAACCTTATGGCTGTGAAGGGGGAGAGCTGGGGCATGGCGTTATAGGGACGGCGGTTTGGGCTTCTGCCCGTATAGTGCGGCGGGATTACGCCAGTCTTGCAAATAGCAGAGCAGGTTTACGGTGATCCGGCGTGGTCTGCGGCCAGATAAGGCTTACGGCGTGTGTAAGAAGTGATAGTATGGGGTAAAATTTTGTGGAGTAGGACATGTTGACAATTGACTATTTGATTCAGCAGGCTGTGGAGTGAGGTAGATGTTGCTTAAAGTTGATGTGGGGAGATGACTCAGTTACGTACAGCTTCTTGGCCCTTGGGTGTGAGCTGAGTTTAGTTATTGCATTATAGGGTATGCGTTGGCGCTAGGGCTTGTTTACGAGCTAAATTTGTGGTGTAGGGCTGCGCTCACCCGTTAAGGCTACACTGATTATGTGTACCAACTTCTCGCCACTACCAAGTTTCATCGAGCTACGTCCAGTCTTTTGGGAGGGAGCGCAGCAATACACCACAAATTTAGCTCGTAAACAAGCCCTAGCGCCAACGCCTACCCTATACTGCGTCCCGCCTTACGGTGATGTTTAGCTCGTGACAATTTTTAGAATTTCGCCTTCACTCGAGACGTCATTTTGTCTTTAATTTCGGATAACTATTATCCTATTTTTTATTGTTAGGATTTCAAGTTATAAATAGCGGATATAAATTTAAGAGCTCCAATACCAAGTCAGCATTTTTTCAAATCGTTACATATGTAGTTTGCTTGGAGTACACCAAAAACATTCGACTCTGTAATATAAAGAAAACAAATTTCGATCGTTTGACAAACAGCAAGTTCTCAACTTGCAACCGTTACAAATTGATCAATACTGTACAGAAACATCTCGAAATCAATTTCGAACTTTTTGAAAAGTGCCCACACCTGTGCCGTTGTTAATTGCGAGAAGAAATTTTTTATGAGCGCCGAACTTTCATCACTTTTCAACTCTATAGAATCGTTTGATCGGTGCTCTCGTCTCTCAGAATTTTCCATAGGAGGTGTAGAGAAATTCTCAGGATGTTGATTGCTCTGCAGATCGGATGCGCGTCTTAATTCCAGACCCTCGTCGATCACTGCGGCTGACTGATGGGTCTTACTGATGGCCAGCTCTGGGAATCCAGTTATGAAGACGAGAGTCTGAATATCTTCATCTAGTGACTCCAGCTTGAGGACTACGTTGTAGGGCACGTCACACGGCCGACAGATGACGTGGTAAGGTCGCCAGTGTTCGTTGTAGTCTTCAACGGGCGTCTCCAACAAATACTGTACGAACTCCGGGAAAGTTGGCACGTCTTTGTAAAACTTATCATGAGGCTCTTGCTGACGATACTTTGAAATGATGGGCATGTTGTAGAGTCTCCGGAATTTCTGAAATTGAGCCATGACCATCTTTCCGGACTTTGTTGCTATCTTGTCCCTGAAGAAACGTTAAAAGTGAAATAAAACAAAAATGACATATTTAAAATTGGATAAGAAAACCGAAGACTCAGAATTGAAATTAAATTAAAAATGTAGTATTTTCATTTCATTTACTAAAAAGCAGTTGTGGAAGAACCTTGATCGTTTCTTAACAGAGTAGGTTAAGGAAATTAACTTAGTTGACTTGACCCGTTGATGACTGGATGCTGACGATTCGACGCTTCCCAGGAAATAATAATTTTCTTTGCCAACTATTTTTTTAGAACTGTAACTAATTAGCCTGCGTCTCCACACTCCTGCAGTCTGAGTTTAATGCAATGCAAGAGTTCGCCCACGATTAAAGTTACCTGCACATTGTGTTTTCAAACATACAACCACTTCCTCTACAATTGTGTCGTGCAGCTCTTAGCTCACCTGTAAGCTGATATCAGCCTGAGGAAGGGATGCCTGACTACCATGAAGGTGGTGCTAGCATCAGGCGGCTGCTCGTCAGCAGAAAGATGGGGCATGAGTCTCCTGAGGGCGGTGTGCTGGCCACTGATACCGAGCTCCTCTATGAGGTTCTCGCAACCCAGGACCTTCAGCAGCGACTGTACTACTGACGTGGACGCCACCTTCGGGATCTGATGGGAATTCTGCGTCGTTGAATTGTTCGATTTTTGATGTTTTTTTGCCAGAAGCTTTCATATACGTACATTGAATATTCAATGAAAATAACATAAATTCAAGATTTCACTAGGAATCGTTCGGTTAACAGAGCATGCATTTGGAGCGTCGCAATTTCGGCACTATTTTTAAATTTAGAGTCACACAGGAAGCGAAGTCAAAATGAATTGTGATCTGTTTTCATAATCGCATGTTATATATATTTACATGTTAGCTAAAAAAGTATATAATATTAACACCGACCAATCTCCCTTAAACTGATACCATTAAACAGATCAAGCCGCATGTCCCGCGACACTAATAATTAACATTCAAACACTGACTAACCTTGCACCACGCGAGTCGGTGAGGTCGGGACACCATGATGTCGCGGCTGGACTGTCGTCTGTGCAATGATCGCGGTGTTAAAATTGTATTATATGCGAATTTTAAGCGATTCTTCGCTAATTACATAGACTAGCATTTATATGGAGGTAATTTTTATTAGACTAGACGTAATTTGAAATAGCGTAAGTCAACGCAGTAAGAGGAGAGAGAAAAGAAGTGCCGACTCAGTCTTTACAGTTTATTTGTATACAAGCAAAGCGCACGGTGCGCGTTGTGTGTTGAATCCCTAAGCGCACACCGCGCAGTCCGGGCATGCAGAGGCAGGTATTTAGGCGTCTCCGCTCACATCGGGGACAATGTCGATATTGAAATACTATAAACTCCGCATTACTTCCCCCTGGATGGCGTGCGATCGTGAGGGACATAAGCAATGAGATGCAGGAATAAATTACTCGAAGCCACGTCGACAGAAATGAAAACACAACTTGACGTTTGTGGAGTCCTACTCAATAGGTAAATCCAAGTCTATATCTGGCTAGAATCTAGATCATGGGTCACATGATTATATTACGGCAGGAACTGCGACTACAATTTAAAACGTGTGATGTGCAACAAACTGGACTGAGATGTCATATAATCAATGTACATCATACTTCTTGCATCTCATAAGCATCGTCGATTTTAACATATTGCCATCCCCGCCATTAAATGTCCAATCGCTGGAACATGAATCTAAGCAGACCTAAAAATTAAAATGTCTCGCTAAAGGATTACAGATTTCATCTAATCAGAAAAAGAAAGAGACGTGTAATGATAAAAAAACTTATAATATTACAATGATGTCGTCATCATAGAATATACATATATCATGTGAGAAGGTGCTGAACCATGAGAAGTAGAATCGTAAAAATGTGACGTTAAAAGACGTTAATTAAACGTGACACACAGTATAGTCGGTTTTTTAAAATGAGTAAATGAAATGGTAATATATATAATAATAGTGATTGGGAGCAAATAGCGCAAAAGAATAAGTACGATGTACTGGCAGAGTTGATGATACGATGAGTCAATGTGGTTACCCGGTACGAAGGTGGGCGTGACTGTTGCAGTAGCTCGCCAGGTGTCGCCCTCGCCTCTGCGCGGCGGGGGTGCGGGGCGCCAGCGCGGCGCTACGCTGAATCTTCAATACGGCATCAACTATTTAACTATTCATGTTTTTTTATATTATAGCTATATTTAAGGCAACTATCAAAAGCAAAAAATTTGATTCAATGTACTTTACTTAATTACATTAATACAATTCTGGGGATAATTTATTTATTTATTTTTTATAAAAAAAAATTAGTTGAAGCGATTTCAATAAGCCATGCACGAAAGGGTGACGTGTCACCAAACAAAGGTGTGTCTAAAACAACAGTTTTCTGCAACGACTGCAAAGAAAAAGTTCAAGACAGACTATCATCATTATTTCTGTAAAAATTAATAAATCTAAATTGTTAGGGTTTTTTTCATCACTCACAGCTGGCGAGACATGTTTTTGATCTTCGCCCCACCAGCAGTATGCCGTGAACAGCACGACATACGGCAGCACGAGTAGCAGAGCCAGCAGGAGCTTCGTGGAATGCCACTGCATGTCTGTCGTGAAACCGGTAAAAGAAAGCGTCACTGGAACATTAGCACAGTGACTGAGTGGAAAATATATCTCGATAATAACTCCAAGTTGTAAAACGATTAGTAGCAAAGAATACCTAAAAAAACTCGGATATAAAGTAAGCTGATTTATTTACGATTAATCATGGCAAGTTTTTGTTAATTTTACCGATTCTAAAGGCTGCCACCTGACAACCGCTGTCTTTGTTACCATGGTTCCATATTCAATATAGACAATTCAATAATTCAATTCAATTTACTTAAACAAATAAAGTTTAGATTCACATTTAGAGTTGGTCTACATTTAAGTGTAGATGCTCGTTAGCTACTCGATCTCGAGTATACTAACGCTTACTCTAGCAAGTTTGCCAAAGGATGAAAGTTTATAATGATCGTTTACTAGAAAGCCCTGGAAAGCATTTAAATACGTAATAAACGAAACAAATTAAAATAAATCCAGCTGCGTGCGCCAGATCATTCAAAATGAATTGAAGTAAGGGTAAGCGGGGTACAGTGGGACAAGTAAATTATTTTATATATTCGAAAATAGTATTGAACGACAGTTTGAGGTGGTTATAGCACAAAAGTTAGTGCCTTGATTGATGTGGTCTAAAGATGTGTTGCCCTGTTCTGCATCTTTCAGTGAGCCACGTTTTGTTTTAGGCAAGGAGTGAGGTTCAAGCGAGGAATACTTCAATTATGTTCGAAACTTAACCCAATACTGCCACCGATCCTCAACAAAAGAGAAATGAAAGCATAATAAACAACTACTTAATTTATTGAAAAAAACACGCTAATTGAACACTGACAATATAAATAGTTAAAAAGTTCTAAAAGTAAAGTTAGGTCAGACAACTACGACAATGAGCATAGGGTAGATGATACACAACAATGAGCAATATAGGTGCACAGCAATGTGGGTACACAGCAACAATGGAGCATTGCAATGATGGTGCACAGCAACAATGGTCACTGCAATGGTGCACAGCACGATGGGGCACTGGACTGATGGTGCACAGCAATGACGGTATATCGAACTCGGGTTGAGACTCGACTTGCAGGTGCTGGTGTTGGGGAGTACCGTCGGGACGGCCTAAACAAGAGCCATATCTCACTGAAATACGGCTCCTATTTAGGCCAGCAAATACTATTGGTTGTTCGGGCCAAGAGTCGGTCCTGCCAAACAATGATTGTTAGCAAGACTATCACTAACAATATAATACTATGGAACAATTTCATGTAACACATCAATATGAATACATTTGGAGAATTCAAACACTATGTTCAGAACTCGAACGTTTAACTAAAGTTTCAATGCACTAACACCCACCTAATAGAGACGCTACAGGTACACTCGCTAATAGTGACACTATATAGATAGTAATCTCACTATAGTAATCGAATGAGAAGATCTTTAATCAACACCTGCTTCACCCCAGTAATATGCCATGTCAGCGAATAAAATGGTTGCCAACCCTATCAGCAGCAGTTGAACATACCATGTAAAAAGAATTTTAACTGAAATCCTAAATAAAAGGTGATATTTCCTTATATATGGTAAAAGGGAGCCAACTAAATATTTTGGTATCCATATTAAATGTAATTGGAGTGCCCATTTCGCGAGCTAAAGCTTTCCTGTGTGATTAATTTCTGTATGTAGGTGCACAATAATGTACATAAGATAAATAGTTAATTGATTCATTAATATTAAAATGGCGGCCGAATGTTTCCAAAATGGTGGTTTGGGGTACAATGGGACAGTTAGTTTTGGGGTCCAATGGAACAGTTCGTTTTGGAGTACAATGGGATAGTCCTAGCATCTGCCAATTATTCAAAACAGGACTTTCCAATATGAAAATGAAATTGTCCGTTCGCCGCCATATGTTCATTGACAGAGATACTCGGCTCCCTTCATCATCTTCATCAGAGGATCCATTTCATTTTTTACACATTATTTATCTGATGTAATAAAAGAAGACTTTCCGGCCCTTGCAGAGAGAATGAAAGTTCCATGACTCTATTTTTGTATAATTTAGTTTCACTGAGGCAAAAACATATTATGTAGGCTGGATAACATAGCAGAGAGACGAAGATGACGAATATGATGTATCCAACTTGCGTGCGCCGTAGAGAGAATATACAGATCGAGCGTTTTTTTTAGTTCCTGGTGTAGCTGAACTTGTGTCAGTCAGTGTATGGGGACATCAAATTCATCCTCAGCAACTAAATGCCCAAGATCATGAAGGCATAATTCTAACGTGATATTTGTATATAATTTTTGATGATGTAATAATTAGGTAAAATGTCACAATGTACCTCGCGGACTGCCCCACAGTACCCTGGGGCCGCCATACTGTGGGACATTTTAATTCATTTTGTATTTTATAATTTGTAGTCAAAGGAACATTTCTTACCATTGCTTAGGTACCTAGCAACTTAACAAAGAATCTGATTAATATTTTATTGGCATTTTGCATTCTATAAAGGAAGTTAATAGTATTATTTTAAATCAAATTTTTTTTTGCCCTTTATACCCTACTATTCTCTACCCACAAATATGATTGTAGCTCGAGAAGCCGAATCCCTAAATACATTTGTTAGTTTTTTTGCACATTCCAACAATTTATACTATGTCCCGTGAATAATTACGCAAAAAATCCTATATATAACCCCTCAATTACTTTAAACAAATTAACATTAACTCCTCCATGACATGGTAGCGTCAATCCCGGCGTTCGCTCGGTGTGAATTTTCCTGGAAATTTTCTTCGTTTCGATAGAACGTCGATGAAAGGAAAAGAAACAGTTTTGAAAACAGTTAAAAAACAGATACGTTTGACCTTTCAATGAATTCGCAGAACCAATGTTACCTGCGTGGAAACTTTAGCAGAGGTATCGAGACCAATCAAATCTGCCTGCGATAAATTGATCGATTTTGGCACTCATTTGTTGTATTCAGATATGTTATCATAATGAGCATAAGCACCGAAGGCTAGACAATCGGCTCACAAGTTTGTCACAGTACCGGACGAACAAAGACATGGCATTCTTCTCTTATTGATTATTGTAGAAATTTCGATCTCCAGAGATCACCTCCACACTTGTGAGGTACGTAAGGAACAAAATGGCGTGGAGAATAAGCTTCGCACATATACCGCGTGAAATTTTCGTGTTTAATATATTCCCCATTTTATTTTTGAAAGCAAGATTAAGCATAACAAACTACCTGCAAATGACAGCTTTAATCGGCATGAATGATTAAAAATGATTAAATGAATGATTAAAAATCATAGTTGATCTTTCTTCTGGAGCACCAAATTATATCCAATGCAAGCATCTCTGATTGATACGAGATATTCTACGCAGATACATTGACACCTCCCACCAACGAATGACAAGACACATCCTTGATAATTAATACTAACGAACGAGAAGAGATATTCTAGATACACTGAGTTCTCCTGCTTACTCAGCAATGCTTTGATTTTGTTGCTAAATTTTCGAGCCTCTAGCTAGGCATTCAATTCACGCACATCACCAGGAAACTTTTGCCGGCAGTATCCCATGACTATACGTGGGACTTGCAAACTTACTGGTGTTGGATCTATACTCGGTCCGGACGCCAGAAGTTGGTCTTGCCTGAGAATTTTCCCAGATGTATTACGATGATCTTTTCCTTCCTCTTCCTTTTTGGGGACGCACATTTATGTCATTATTATTATAAACTCAGATGAAATTATATACATATTCTATATATACAATGACCCCATATAAATTACGAGGAAGTGGATCAAGATCTTTCGGCCGTGTGTGGATGGGCCAAAAAAAGCACACGACTTAAATAGGAAGCGATAGGATTGCTAAGCAATCGAGGCAAACGACTGAAAGAAGGAGCAATAAGATTGCGGAGCAATAGAAGCAAACGACCGCATGCGGCAGCGATTGTCTTGAGCTTCGTTCTGCCGGAACCCGAAGAGCTACTTATGCTGATGCCGTAACTTAATAGCCTAAATCCTGAGAGCGTGGTCGCGCAAGACCCTGCTGCCAATGACAAGCTGCCCCGATTACCAATACTTTATAGCATCAGCTGATTTCTGCTACTGAGCACAGTGTAGGATGGCGTGATGTACCAGCTGCAGAACTTAACATGATCAGTATGAATTCTGCTACTTAGCAGCTATGTATAAAATTGAGTGCTGCAGCAAGCAAAATCTTGGTTCTATCTACAGCAATCAAGCAACTTCGGAGAGCGTCAAGGTAGAAAGTCGTTGTAACTACCATGGAAGATGTAGAAATCCGACAACTGTATTTAGTATTCTACTGCTGCACCGACAAGAAAATATAAGATATGCCATTTTATTCTCTCGTCTAGTAGTGACTACTTATCTTGGATCCTTAATTTATGGATCCTTTCAGTTATTTATTTCCGAAGTGAAATTATTCCAGTTATTCAGCAGCTTTTCTTTCGCTTAAATTCTTGATAACTCCTTGTTCCTTCCGATGTTGATCGTGAAGAATCATTGAACAGAAGTTTATGGGCATCATTGACAATTTAAGTGAGCTTTGTCAGTTCACAATGAGGCTATCATCATGTATTCGACAGAATTTTGGTCTGCGAATCGCCCACTTCCTTAGACCTAAGACGTGCAAGAACAGTTCCTTGTCCAACCAAACGACCTCGTCGTTCGGTTGGACGAAGCCATCGGTTGTTCGTGGTTATTGAAGTCTGTGGATAATGACGCGAACAAAGAACGGGAATTGGATTCACCTGCCTGAGTGTAGGTCCTGAGTAAATAGGAGTCAGTCAGAGTTCGAGTCTAACTAGCAGAATCTAGTCGAACGATGCAAGAATAGGGAATTTAATGACGAACTATAATTAAAAGTGACAAATCACAAATGTAAACTTTCTGGATGTCACTCGCGGGACATTTGGAAAAGAGAACCGACGAGAAGCGCCGCTTGGACGACGGGCTTTTAATAAACTTGTTAATATTTGACCAAAACTTGTCACGAGATATTTTTCTTAAATTTGGGTATTGTAAATATTTATGACACCACTATAATATTGTTTTCTTGATTTATATAACCGAATGTAATCACTGATGAGCTGACTTGTTCAGTTTGTCCTTAAATGACTCACACCTTTCTATTCTAAATAAATTTCTTACTGCATGGAGGTGACAACTATTCAAAGTAATTACTAGCTAACCTGCAGCGTTTAAGAAAAATCTTAGCACCAACTTAATTTCCCTGTACGTGTATACGTAAAGACTGGCACTGGATCTATTGAGGGAAAATAAAATCATTTATAAAAGCCAGCGACTAAAAATATATCACCTAAGGTTCACTTATCCCTCAAAATAACGAGTTATAAGGCAGCTTTCCGTCTCCAAAATGATCTTTCAGACGCTCACATGAGCAGGTAAGAGTTGCGTACGTCTAGGGACAGCGGCAACGCGGCTATCGGGCGCCTCGGGAGCGCTTGTTTGTCCACGCCTGGAGACTCGTTTTGCACGCGTGCTGCAGGGTAATGCCGAAAAATGCCTCAATGTTTTCTATTCAAATATTCTGGTTTTCTCGAGGATTTTAACTTTAAATTTAGTTTCATCAGAATCTGTCTACAATCCTCTTACAGTGAAGAAGTTGTTAAGGGGATAAGTGCACTTGCTGTTCTCAATTTTTCTTTCCTTTTTTGTTTATTTTTCAACAAGTTTTGAATCCAACTTTAATGATGGGTCATGCCGGAGGTTTCTCTATGAATAGAGAAACATGATAAAAGTTATCGAGTTTTTTTTCAAACTACAAAAAATCTTTAAACTCTCCCCGTGAATAAATAGTAATTTCTTGAACACAAACACACATACAAATTATCTTTTTCAAAAAGCATCTGCAGTTTGCAGCAGATATTACCCTTGTTAAAATTAAATTAATTGGTGATGAAGTTCACTTGTACCTCAATGGTAATTTAAATAATCCCAACTTCTTATTGCATTATTATTAGAAGCAATAGAAATTCAACAAAGGTCATCTGAACCGCTGGATAGCTGAATGGCGTTACGATGCGGCATCGAGTATCCTATTAGAAAATGTTTTGCAAGAACTCAAATAGAAATATAATTATATATTAAAATTAAAATAGAGGAATATTTCAGTATAAAAGTGACTTGGCTCTACATTCACTAAGAAAAACAAATTTTATAAAATGTTAACACCGATAGTTGTGAATGCCAACAATTCTGCATCAAAATGTTCAATGCAAATAAAGAATTCTCATAATCTCATCCACTCGTTAATTTAGTGTTGGGCTGCTTCGAGTGAGAAATATCTTATTCTCTTTAAACAGTTACCGTTTTGACTTTATTAGAATGATGACACTTATTACTTGTTAAATTAATCATAAAGATTGAATTGAATGCCACCCACCAATTCAGGTCAGCCTGACACTCCCTAGGGTGGTTCAGAGGAGACTGCTTATGCGTGTCACCATGCACACAGATGTTGAGTGTTAGTAGATGTGTAGATAGGAAACATACAACGCCAGGTGTTGAGTGTCTGTATGTGTGTGCTGACGCCATGGGCTCAGAAATGTGCTTACTCTTAGGAATTAGCTGAGTTAAAAGCTGAGTCAGCGTTGCTACTACAACTAAGCTGAGTAGGATCATGTAAGCTCGCTCCATTCAAACAAAGAGCGCAATAGAAATGTAAGTCAACTCATCTGATGCCTAATAGGTAAATAAATATCGATACATGGACCCTGGGACATTTATTATTATTAATGAACAATACCTATCTTCATTTGTAAACAAAATTTTCCGAAGATACTGATGAAATAATTTTTGATGACATTGCGAAGATTGTTCAGAACCAGCAGGGGCTTTGAAAGATCAGGCAAATTATGGTGATCGCTGTATTGTCCTTTCAAACGATCGTGTGTACGATGGTGTTGTCAAATTTACTGTTCAAGTCTGCAATAGGATGTAGGAAATTTTAATTAAAATCTTTGTAGGGAATATTGAAAGTCTGATCCCGCTTCGAAATAAATGGGATACAAATCGGTCAATTCCCATTTAGGTTTCTGATCGAATTTTGAAGACTTGATTCTTCAATTAACTATTATCATAAACTTGCCATAAACCTTATAGTTTTCTTTAGGAAACTCTTCATGACAGACATAGCAAACTGTAGCATTTCTGTGTTCATGATATTTTTCATTTGATAAGAACATTTTTTTTGGATTTAATAATTCATATATACGTTTTGTTTCTGCTTCTAGATATTCTACAAATTTTTCTGATGCATCTTCACCATTATATAAATAACTCTAACTTTGAGTACCTATCATCCTCACATTTAGTATAACAACAGAAACTATTAGGCTCATGCTTTTGAATATTCCGAGTGTAATTTGACTTGGGCTCTGGCTGACATGAATCAATACCTACCAAAGTCGATTCAAAATCAGCGTAAATTACAAAGGGATGTTTGATAGTCTTTTGAAAGGCCTTGAATTTTAGTTTCTCATCACTATAAACATATTTGACGGGTGTGTGAACAGAGCAATCATTTTTATGTTTTTCAAGTAGGTCTTCACGTATAAATGCATGCAGGCAGTAGTTCTATGACTCGCCTTATGAATAAATGGGCTTAAAGACTTCATTAAGACATAATGACTTCCATTCTCATTTGTAATTAACAATAATGAAACCACATCATTATTTTTAGTTTTAGTTATTCGAAGTAGGCATAGCTCCAAACAATAATTCAAGCTATATACATTTATAGAAATATTATTCATCTTCTCAAATTTATCGATGTCTTTAATTTTCATAGGGAATTTGATATCCGCGAATTCCAACTCTTCGGCTTTCTTCTTTAATAATTTCGTTATTCTGTTACCATGTCCTTCATCCCTGCAGAAGTGGCGTGCGACCGTCCACTTAAAGCACATGTTATCTTGGTTTTTAATATTTATTAACATATATTTTGAATGTCTCAATTTTTCAGGCAATTCAATATAGCTAGAACCTCTTAAAGGTTTGTATTCAACAATTTTAATTGTAAAGTTTAGCAACTTATTTAATATCCATCCAGAAGAGTTATTCGTAAATTCTTCGATTCTGTGTATCAGATTATCATACAGCCCTTTAATTGTATTTAAATTTATGTGATTCCTTGAAAGTTCTATAAACCTGTTTGAATTGAACCAAGCGGTATTATAAATTTTCTCACTGCCTAATTTGAATTTATAAAACTCAACTTGTAAATTCAACTGTAATTTAATATTATCGAATTTCGACTGTCTAATTACTTGAATAACTTCAGATGTTATATTCTTGAGAAACAACTTAGGATCGATAGTTCTTATCTCATGATAAATATGTTCTGCACATGTGTCATTAACAGCCTTCTTAATTTCCCCTCGCGTGCATTCAAATTTATTTTTAAAATGGACAATTGAATCTTCATGTACTCCAACATCATCAACTTCCAAATTACAAAGATTACAATAAAAGAAAGAACTGGCTATTACGCTATCATTTAGACGTTTTCTATGAGCGTTTGTTTCTTCATGTCTTTTTAAGTTTTGATAATCACGATCACATATTACGCACTTTGTTTTTGTATTGAAGTATGAATTTGATATTATCGAATTGTTAATTGCTTTACGATGCTTTTGGGTTTCTATATGTTTCTTTATGTTCTTAACTACTGTGTTACAAATTTCACAATGATTCATGCTGACAATATTTGCTTCCATTTTACTTAAGAAATTTATCCAAAGAGATTTCGTATTCAATGCGTGTTTTTTCACATGATTTACATCAGATGATTCGTTAGCTCTCATTTTATATAGAAAATTTATCCAAAGGCTTTTGCTACTTACGGTATGTTTTTTCACATGACATACATTAGATGATTCGTTAGCTCTCATTTTATATAGAAAAAAATTAGAAGCACATTGAAAAAATTCTTTTATTCTAATACAAAATAAGAATTATTTAACTGGTTCAACGAGGTAATGCATGCACCAATTGTGCAGAAGTTAAGGGGAGCATCTGTTCAAAATCTTTCGATTTTGGCTTTTTAGATTTTTATGTTCATATTAAAGCTGACATTGACGAATCCAACGGTATAAACAAGTAATGGTGATACCAATTGGTGGGGGTAAAATGAAAAAAAAAATCCGAAAAATTCATGAAAAATGCTCCCATACCTACAAAAATGATAATTTAAAAAAAAGCCTTCAACAACTTTTAGATATGGTCTTTACGCATCGAATGATATGTGTCTCGATGTTGTACCTTGAAAATCCTAGGAGGAGATAGATTTCTACGGTACCCCCTTTTTTGACCGTTTTCTAAAAATTTTATGTTTTCTTTCATTTTTTCGAAAAATTCACATGAACAATAAAGTCTTAGATTTCTGTTTTACATATGTGTACAAAGTTTTAGAGCGATCCGTTTGTAAATAGCCGAGATAAATTTTACCTCAGACGCTCCCCTTCGAATGACATGCGTCTCGATGTAGTAGCTTGAAAATCTTAGGAGGAGATAGATTTCTATAGTATCCCTTTCTTTGACCGTTTTCTAAGTGGCGCACGCCGTGCGCCGCGTTAATCACCACCTCACAGCTCCTTCCATGTCTCCGCTCACTGACTTGAGACCTGCAAAAACCTCAGGAGGTGCTTGGGATCGAACCCTGGGCTAGCGACTACCAAGACGCATCGCTAGCCACTTGACCATCGTGGTGATAGCGACTCAAAGCAAAATCTAGCTTTTCTATTACCTATAGTTTGGTAGCATAGAATTTTCAGATATTATATACAAACTATATTAGTTCGATAGCACATACAAAGGTATTAATGGGTATGAGACTGTCGTTGCAGGAGAGAGAGAGAAACGTGGTATTACTATGAGAAATGAGTGAGTCATAGCTGAAAATCCAGTTTTTCAATGAGCTGTATCAAAAGAAAATGAAGTGACCTTCTGAATTAAGTAGAGTAACTATGTTAAACTGAGGTTCTTATTTGCTCTGTGGATTCTTCCGTACGAGATCAATAAGTAGAGATTGCCTTCTGAAATATCCTCACTCGACGGGAATTCAGTGCTTAATGTATAACAGATCAGCTAGCGGTCGAGGGTAAATACAGTATTTTTTACAACACTCTCGATATTAGCACGCGATGCATCCTACCTCTGCCAGACCGGTCCTGGATCTTGAGCGAGTTTTTGTAGAGGATAATTTAAGTGCGCCTTTAGCTACCAGCCGATGTGCACCATGAAAAAAAAACTGACTCAAGGTTTCAAGCTGGTTTGACTCAATTGACTCAAGCCTGGTAAATGACTCGAATGACTCAATCGGGGTAAATGATCGTTAAGTCGTGATTCAGGAGTAATTGGTTAATTTTGTTGGGCAAATGATCGGTATCCTGTTTATGCAGGTTCGGGGTAATTGTTCGTAATAATATTGAAGGTAATTGGTAATTTTGTTGGGTAAGATTTGGGGTAAATGGTTGGTAAACTATAATTTAAGCTGTTTATGGAAAGTGTGACGATAGGCTCCTTTTGCTATCTACTGCTGTTGCTTCCTTCTCAATTGCAGGGTAATGCAATTTGCTCCCATGTAGAGTTCTTGACATAAAGGCAACTGGATATCTGCCCTTGTTCAAGACTGCTGACACTGCCATGTCTGAAGCATCACATTCTACAACAAAAGGCAATTCCTCTTCAATGGACGTTAGAGTTGCGCTGGCCAGCTGTGACTTAAGAGTTTCAAAAGCCGACAAAGCATTTTGATTGAGTGGAAAGGATTTTGTATTGACTAGCGGATGAATCTTGTCCAAGAAATTCTCAATCCACTTTGCATAGTGCGCAAACATACGCAAGGCTCTCAGCAAGGAGCACTTATTTGTAGGAGGTGGAAGCTCTTGAAGGGGACAAAGTCTCATAGTCAGGCTTAATGACCCAGTTTCTCACACAATATCCCAGAATTTTGATGATGGGTACTGATTTTATGGTTTTAGTCGTTGAGCATTATGTTTTGCTGCTTGACCTGATGCAACAGATCTTACCTGATGATGCAACAAATGGCAACCTATCAGCTGTCTTGCTGTGTCTGGCAATCCCTTCTACTAGTACTATCACCAGACGACTTAGACCAACCAGCCTCACTAGACTCGTTTGAACTACTCAAGTGGGATTTATTAATAGGGTTCTTGCCAAGAACGGGACCATGCTCTGGTGCAGATCATTCTACTCTTAACACTTTGACTCCGATTGCTTTATCTTGTACTATTATTTCACTTTTTGTACTGTTTTTAAACAGGGTTGCCAGACGGTCTTTTTTTTCGGACAAATTCCGTGATTTAGTTTTTCTCAATTGCGTTGGCCGGCTAAAATTTGTGATAGGGGTACTTCCTAATCAAATTTTAAATACTGCAAAAAGAAAAT